ATGTAAACTGACATAATGGGTTTGATTCACTCAATGTTGTGTATGGAGCTTACGTCTGCACGGTAGTTAATGCTGAAACTACCTGATTTTGTTTAACGTCAGAGCAATGTGTTACACGTTACAAAGGAATGTTTATGTGGGGATAAGTCAGTCTGGTGGATTGTGAATTCTCCAAAAATAAGAGACAACATTTGTTTGTGGGAGGCATGCATCTTGACTATATTACCCGATCAGGTGTTAAAAGAAACGGTAAAAATTGTACCGATGGGGGTGGTGGATTGACGAACATCTCACCGGCTTCCTAAATACGTAACATATGTATTATTCCGTGTTAAAACACGAAAACAATATTGGAATACGAAACTTAGTATAAAAAGTGATCCGAGCAACCGCTAATGCAATGTAATCGAATGACAATCACAATGATAGTCTATTGAAACCACTACCTTTGAAATATATTTGAAATTAAACTCCTTGAAATCATTCTGAAAAGAAACACATTCGAGTTTAATAATGAATATTATACCCAAACTTGTGGAGTTAGCATGAGATCACCATCTTCACCTGAGATTGCTGACATTACATTCCACCTACTGGAAACTCAGATTTTACTACTTGGTGCTTGTTATATTAAAACTTGGTATTGTTTTAGAGACGACATCTTCATGGTACTAGTATTCAAAGGTACCATACCTGAATTACACAAATTTGTTCAGGATGCCAATATGCTTCATGGCAGATACCGGCTCACATTTGAATACTCCATGACACAAGTCACGTAAACTGACCTTAACTTATATAAAGGTCAACGCTTCCATGATCTGAATATATTAGACGTGAAAACGCACACCAAGACAACGGAAACGTTTCAATATATAAAACGTAATTCTTGTCACCCTTCATCAGTATTCAAAGGATTTATTTAAGGCGAAACTATTCGGCATGCCAGTACATTTAATAATGTAAACGATTCTATACATAAACGTAAGTTTTTTATTGAAAAATTGCGTGAAAGAGACTACACAGATAACGATATCGAAAGATACTTTTAAATTAATGAACATGATAATCGTATCTCACATTTACGTGAATCAATGCAGTGGTGGATACAGGAGTTTTTGTGGAGGGGGTCCAAACTCAAAAATCGCTAGACTGAGTTAATTGTGTTTTTTATATTATACAAAAACAAATTGAGTAAATTTATTAATGGGGGGTCCCGGACCCCAAGAAACCACCCCCTAGATCTTCCACTGCAATGCCTAATAATGAAGGGCAAACAATATTCACAACTCATTCAACCCTCATATACAAGGGTCCTATTAAAACACTGGGACTTAATTCGGAATGATTTATTACTCAGTAACATTTTTCCAAATCCTCCCCTTATTGCATTTCGTAGAAATACTAACTTGAAAGCTAAACTTACAAGTTCTACTCCACGTACTGACAAACTCGTGAAAAACGACACACCAAACGACGAAGAATTACTTTCTATTTTAACTAAATTGTATAATGAAAGTAATAATGTCGAACATTCTGAAAGCTAAATAAATCGAACGATTAAGTACTGTTCCGACTGATGAAGGGTTCAACAAAGAACCGGAAACAGCACCATCACACTAGTGAATAATCCATTTACGGATAAATTTGAGTGCTGTATCGACATAGGCGTTCTTCGTACTCAGTTTCGTATTCCAATATTGTTTTCGTGTTCACTTCTATCGGGATCACACCTGAAATATTTTAACACGGTTAATAATACATATGTTACGTATTTAGTTAGCTAATGCAATACTGCCCTCAGTCGGTGAGATGTTCGTCAATCCACCACCCCCATCGATATAATATTATTGGACAATTGCCAGTCAGTGCCGAGGCTCTGTTCTCATTTATTTACACCGCCCAATGTACAGGGCTTCAAACCTTGCGACTGAGTTCTGCGTTCCTTGAAATGAAAGTTTATTTTATTTTCATCGTTAGCGAGTCCACCGCAGTTAATGTTTGTTCAGAATCTGTGGCACTATGTGGATTAACCTCGGTGGTACTCACATAGATGAGATATACGTAGTTTAGCGGTGAAGACAAAATGTTCACCGGGCGATATATATATATATATATATATATATATATATATATATATATATATATATATCATCTTCAGTATCTTATAGAACCGAGTCTTCCCTTTGAACATCGTGTTTGGCGTTTTGTGAAAACTCAGACAACTAAAAATTAGTGAAGGTGAAAATGAGTACTTACCATATATTTTTATCAAAATGTAGAACGAAGAACTCTCAATAAAACTACCAGCGAGCATACTCTTAATGTGTTGGGATAAAAGTGCAGAGCAAACGACTGACATAACTGCGGGCTGTTTTCAAGAGAAATAACCAAACTGGTGATTCTGCGAAATAAGTTAGAGAGTTGTCACCTGCGCACGGGCGGGAATTGAGTCCCAAGCGATGATAACAACACACGGTATAAACGCAAAGACTCATGTGTAGGCGCTTGTTTGTAAACAATGACACGTCATGGCCATCTGACGCATGCGCAGGTGACGACTCCCCGGTTTTAAATTTTTGGGCGATCTAACCAGATGACCATGACAGGGACGGAGACAGAGACGACAACAACAGCTGTATTTATAAGGAATTTCCTTTATTGGCAGCACTAGACGGACAATTCATAAATTTTGAATTGTATGCGATATACATAGTCCAGTTATATAATGCGTTCTCTATATGTGAAACAGTACAATTAAAAAAAAAACTGTACATGGTCTCAGAGTGGATAATCCAGTGCAATCTCTACTAGTCTTGTGTAAGCCAATTTACCCCTAAAGACGACCGTCCTATGTGAACCACATTTCTTATACACTCGTTATTGTAACGCTAAATCAAATCAAGGAAATATCGCCGAAATAACGGCATAGCATTATGTTGAATGAAAGTAATCATGCACCGTGACTGCGTGAGTGATTCGAACCATACACCGTGTCGTGTATTCGGTGTTATTTCCTTGTATCATTCCCTATGTTGGCGGCTACTGTATTTTCGCTTGGAATTAATTTTCGCTATTATTGCCGAAGGAATGATTCAGTGAAAATAAAATCCAGAAAATATACCTTTTTTCCTATATTTTACATTCAACTCATCAGAAATCAGAGAAAATCAATTCCATACAAAACATCCAAAAATTCTTTTCAGCGAAAATTAATTCTACCTAAAATAAAGTTTTTTACAGTACTATGAGTTTATATCAAATTAAGCAAAAAGGAATTAATGATACATTTTTGATATACTGTAAAATACTTTATTTTTACTGGAATTAATTTTCGATGAAAAGACTTTTTAGGTGTGTTGTATGGAATTTATTTTTACTGATTTTTAGCGAGTTGAATGTAAAAGATAGGAAAAAAGGTATATTCACTGGATTTTATTTTCACTGAATCATACCTTCAGCGAAAATATGTTCCAAGCGAAAATAAAGTATTTCACAGTATTGTAAGTTCACAACCTGGTACCGGTTACTTTGCTTCTCTTGTACTTTTTATCTTCGGGAATTACCATTTAGACATTTCAAATCCGTTTTAACCATTCCCCATTGAAAATAATTCACAGAACATTGTATCATTATTTTTGTTTGTTGTATAACGTTTTTGCTACATTTCCACTAATCAAATATTCAATCACGGCGACTGTGTGATCTACATAAAATCCTACATAGAAGAGCACATATGTTCTTAGTTTGAATACTTCCTGGAAAACAAATACGTTTATACCGGGATAGGTTCTTTAGTTGAGAAAGTGTAGTAAATTATGGCGGCATTCTGTAGTATATATCATCGGTATATTTTTCGGCGCCACATACATTTATTTTTTTATATTTACAGCATTGTTCAATAAATGGCAAATATGCAAATTATTGCAATTTAGTTATTTTGTATGTCGATGTAATCACTTTGTTGGTTATTTATTTCACTGTACATGAAGTCAGAACAGTACAATAGCGCGCAAATTGCGTGTTTCGTAGCGCCCTCATGCGACTGTGGGGAATCTTAGCGAAACTCCGTAAATATATGTACACACAAGAGAATACTAGTATACGATATTTACGTAGACTTTATTATACTGATTACTGACAGTTATTTGTAGAATTATTTATTCAAAAAACATGTAACGTCATATCACATATATTACGTGGTAAATTCTTGGACATTGTTTCACGTATACATTCGATATTTTTGAAAAACAGCGCCCTCTGTGATTATTTTATAACATTTATCAATTATCGTTACTGTATTAGCCGCGAGTGAATTTTTTTTTTGAATCTCTGTAACAACTAAAAAAACACATGATACCCATATTTAAACAACAACAATAACACGCTACCATTTTTAGCTTATCATTTCCAAATAGTCATTGTGCGAGATCGACGGGTTTGTATTAAGAAAACAAAAGAATCACTATCCGCAAGCAAAAATGTATAAACTCGTCCCTCGTCATGGTTGCAGTGTATTTGTTCTTGTATTAGTTAGTGGTCTTATTCAGTTTTCAAATCCCGAAATAACAGAAGCATCTGTTTGAAAACGGTATCAAATATTGATAAACACGCAACAAACAACAGAACAGAACTACAGTGAAAAAATGTCGCACATATAGACAATAATGATTTAAAGGGGCATCTATTATTTTCGTTGATTACGTTACTGTCGTCAAATAGATACGTAAATTAAATGACCCCGTCACGTGACTGGAGTACAATGAATTCAATTATAGAAATATTGCAGCCAAGTAAAATGCATTTTCGAGCCTATGTATTATTTGTTGTGTCGTTTGAACCCCCAGTGTGATGTTAATTGCCACCGATTATACGGAGATAGTAAAATAGTATATAAACGTTCATCTTCTTTATTTTGGTCTTGGTGCACGGTTTTAACACATTTAACGTTTCCTGCAACACACAAGATGTTAATACATACTCTTATATTATCGTGGATGATGGTTATTGGAGCCATTGCTTCACAAAGCTTCGACTCTAGTGTTATCATTCGTTCTCGTTGGAAGAAACAGTTCATTGGCACCGTTGAAGTTGATGTTCTAGAGAAGGTGACGGATGGATGGAGCATTCATTTAAATTTTTCAACCCCGGTTACCAATTTGCAGGTATTCAAACGCATGTTTTTTTTTTATTTCAGTCTTTCCTTGTAGTCTAGAGAGCTGTTGGCATACATGACATTTCCCGTGTCTGTTGTTGTATGAATACCTAAATATAAGATTATGTTGAGAAGTTTATTTTATTCTACTCGTGAACCATGTACAAAATAATTTATTTGCCTACATTAGCATGGTATAACTGTTTATGAGAAATCACACAAGCCATTCAATATATTCAACTAATGCTCATGTTTTGACTGTTAAGTATATTAAGATACACGCCGTGAAAGTCGACACTCCCGAAAAACAATTACCTACTAACTATTTTATATTAACATATCGGGCGATTCCGTTCATAAGATGACAAAATACCAGAGCTAGGTAACGCGTGAAATTAGAGCTAGAGGTCGTTGACATATTCTCATGATAATACAAATGTATGTAAACAAAGAGAAATTATAATGACCCCTGTTTCATGGTACAGGTATGGGATGCAGAGTTGGTCTCCAGCGATAGTGGAAATTACCGCCACGTCTTATGCAATACACTGTATAACAGTGATCTGGAAGCCGGTAAACACCTCCATCTTATGTTGATGGGCAATGTCGATGAGGATAAACTATTAACCGTGGATGTTTCGATGTCTCACGAACCACTACCGGTAGCGGAAGCTGAGGAACAGAATCTACCTGGAAACTCGAGTAAGTTGTTCTAACGTGGTGGTGTGTTATTTTTCAAATATCCATTCCACACAATAAATTTTGAAAATAACGTACATGTTTTTGTTATTTTCTTAGCTACGTATGACTACAACATGGTCCTGCATCTATCCATTTTGTTTTACGAAGCCCAGCGTTCAGGCCATCTACCGTCGACCACGAGAGTTCCCTGGCGGTATGATTCCGCACTATATGACATGGGGAAGCACGGCGAAGATTTGACAGGCGGTTATTACGACGGTGAGTTCTACGTCAAAATATTTTCAGTATATATAGTCAGCAAGATACCAGAACCAATAAGTCCTGTTCTGTATCAATTGACAGTACTATAAAACTCTTGCCTGAAAAGGACACAAAACAATTCGATGTTTTTCAACAGAGTCTCTGTACTGAACAAAATCTGAATAGAACAGTTCATCTCACAAACTTACTCTATTTGGATACAAAACCCCTAGGATACCCGTCGAGTTTATGCGGTCGTGGCTCCATTCTACGTCGACTCTCCCACTCACTTAATGCACTGTATAATATTATTATAATTGTTTTCACGGTACGCAAACTGTGATGCCGTTCTAGTTAATTGGCTTGTTTTGTAGTCTATTTAAAGTATGGACTGTAGAACAATTACCCCATGTTACTTGCTAGTGGCACTGCTGGGTTATAGAAATCACGATAGTTTCAATCACAGCATGGGGCGTATTTTGAAGAAAAATAAGTACATTGTTTACAACATTTCGTCGCGTGTATTGCTGAAAGTACTTTATTATATCGCTCGTATTTTAAAACGCAAATTTGTTATTTCTCGTCCTGTTTAGCTGGCGACCATTTGAAGTTTACTCACACTAATGCTTACGCTGCCTCTGTCCTGGCCTGGGGCTTGATAGAGTATGTTGATGCTTACGAAGCAGGTGGCATGGTGGGTCAAATGCTAGATACCATTAGATGGGCAACTGACTATCTCATCAAATCACACACGGGACTTGAGGAGTTCTATTACATGGTAAGATTTAAAGCCAGAAATGTTATTATGTAAATAGAACAGAAATATTTTATTAGTAATGTAAGCCAAAATGCAAATTAAAAATTACAATAAACGAACAACTGTTATTTAAATTGACCTTTTATTAGGTCGGTGATGCAAATGATCATGCTTATTGGGGGCGTCCTGAAGACATGACAATGATCCGTCCTGCATCTGTAATCACGCCACAGAATCCTGGAACTGAACCATGCGCCTCTGCAGCCGCCGCCCTGGCTGCCGCTGCCATTGCGTTTCGAGACACAGGTGAGTATTTATATTACAGCGATGACGTCACCAGGATGTTTTTTCACATCAAGCGAAAAGAAGTATCGACATATTTTTTTTATATACAAAAACATTTACTACATATATCATCGATTTGTGATAAAGGTGTTAAGTGTAAGTTGTAATACTTGATAAGCATACCAAATGTTATTTCATTACCTTGATGTCCACAGATTCGACGTACTCGGACACAATGACACAACACGCAAAGGAACTCTATGACTTGGGTAACAACTACAGACTCAACTACAACGACAATGGGTTTTATAAGTGAGTTATATTTGTTTACAGAATATTGCCAAAGACTTATATATTTGTTAATACAAATGTATTATTGTTTGATAATTCATGCTTTAGCGAATTGTGATTTATCATAAACTAAAAATTTTGCATTTACAGAACACACAACAGTAATTCGTTGGATGAAAAATCAAAAAAACTACTACGCATGCGCAGTGATTGTTATTGTACGTACTAAAACCTTCAGTGCACATGCGTATTGGGGATTTTTTTTCATCGAACGAATACTGAGATACATGCTACAAGAACAGCGTTTTCAGTTCGTGATAAAGTATCAAACAACAATAATAAAAACTGTATATTCTCGTCCCGATAAGTTGCATCTTCGAACCGGCATAACTTTTATGGTGACAATTAACATATAAAATGATGTATTGAGTGAGGAATGTGTGGACACTCGCACAATATGCTGTCAGCGTTGACTACGAAATGTAGGCGACATTTTCTGACAATAATGTTGAAATTTGCCTGGCGTATTATATATTATCCCCGTAGTTTAGTTAGAAATGTCACGTGACTCGTTCTAGGTCTGGTTCTTACGCGGACGATCTGTGCTGGGCAGCTATCTGGTTGTATAGAGCTACAAGTGAACAGCGGTATTTGGACGATGCCGAGCAGCATTATATAGAGTTCGAGTTGTTTAAAAAAGGTTATTCGTTTGCATGGGGTGATGTGAAGGCTGGTTGTCAGGTAGGTTACGAACAAGACGGTTAATTAAAGCGGGGGAGTCGTCGCCTGCGCATGCGTCAGATAGCCATAGCGTGTCATTGTTTACAGACAAGAGTCTTGAGCCTTTGCGTTTTTAGCGCGTGTTATCGTGCGCAGGTGAAGACCCTCCCGCTTTAATACTTACACTGGGATACGTACATTTCAAATGCAATACGTTGAAATCCATTTGTAGTTGTAACAGATGTTATTTAAAGAATGGCTAGTAACTTCATTTTCAATTTCACATGATACCATGATATATCTATTCCTGTCATGTATTTACAGTTGATGCTATTCCTCGTCACAAACAACGCTGAATATTACAACGATTTTGTGACATTCATGGATGGCTGGCTGCCTGGTGGTACCATTCCGTACACAGATAATGGTTTGGTATTTCGCGATGAATGGGGTTCTTTGCGATATGCAGGTTAATCTAAAATTGTCATTACGTAATATCAACACAAACATGTTCCCTTATATTATTTATGATTTGTAAACAACAATGAACAGTGTTCACGGTCATGTGATCTCGATTGAGATAGACAAGTAAGCCGGTTTATTCAGTTTCGAACAGGGTCATAGATATAAGACCTTGCTTCAGCCAATCAGATGGTTAGATGTAGACTACCCATTATAAGCAGTAGCTTGAATAGGAACTTCGACGATATAATGTTTTGGTACAGTTCCAATTTGCGGATCAATGATATGTCGGGGTTCAAGCAACTTACTTAAGGACTCGTTTATCTTTTCCAGGTGGCGCCTCGTGGATTGCATTGGTTGCCGCTGACAACGGCATCAGAGTTAACACATATCGTGAATTTGCAAAAAGTCAGATAGGATATATCTTGGGTGATACTGGAAGAAGTTATTTGATTGGATTCGGCAAGGATTATCCACATTACCCTCACCACAGATCCAGGTGTGAAACTCGCATTTAACACTTGCTAAAACGGAGGCTTGAATGGTGTGAACATTTCTAGTATTTCTACTATGAGGTCTGCGAATTCAGAAAGTGCTGCCATCAACGTACATGGGACATAACAGTAAATTAAAAAAACAACGACCAGCGTCTCTGTATATGCAACAGACGTGTTAATTTGTCCCCAGCTATAAATAAGTAACAATGCATGAATAGTCGACATTAGTTGAAATAAATATTTCGATATATCTTAAAGCGGGGGAGTCGTCTGATGGCCATAGCGTGTCACCGTTTACAAACAAGCGTCCGCCCGTGAGCCTTTGCGTTTTTTTGCGTGTGTTGTTATCGTCGCTTGGGACTCAATTCCCGCGCGTGCGCAGGTACCCCTCGCTTTAATATATATTTTACAGCCGCTTTATTAATTCTTGTTACTCCCCTTTCTCCCCATTTGTTTCAGTTCTTGTCCCAAACCTCCAGATCTATGTACATGGGGCAATGCATTCGGTATTTCAACTCCAAATTACCATGTATTGTATGGTGGTCTGGTAGGCGGTCCAACAGATTTAAGTGATACGTACACAGACAGTCGAGAAAACTATTTTGAGAACGAGGTAGCTATAGATTACAACGCTGGTTTCCAATCTGCCGTTGCAGGTAAGTACGTGTTTACAAGTTATTTCAAGTGTATGGCACGGCAATCAAATTTTTCCTCTACCATTACACGATGTCTAGTATTTCTTACCGAATTTATTTTTGTATACCCGGTATATGATGAGATATTTAAATTTAACGTCAATTAAAAACTGTCTGTAAACTGTATATTGCTAACTACTTTAACTTCTACTCGACGTAAGTGGAGCTCGTGCACAGTGTACATTGCACTGGAACCAATTCAATCACTAGCTGCGCTAAATGTCTAAATTCTCTCACATTCATTCAATTTTACATTCTCAACAGCATTGCAGCATTTGAAGCTGACAAGCCAATTGTAGGACTGTTATGAATTCAAAATACCAAAGAAATAGTCACCGTGCTGACAGGAAGGCTGTATTTCACTGAGGTCGACGCGTGTTAGTATGTTTAGATTCAACAATCTGGTTATCTATATTATAACTTTGTATTGAATATTTATATTCAATGTGTACTTAACAGCAGAAAATGTTATAATATTCGAACACAATCTGTCAATTGATGCCCTTGTTATTAAAGTTCAAATTCAAAAAACACGACTACTTTGTTTTAATGTAACAGTCATGCGCAGATCGACAAAACATGCAAGTCAACCTGCGACCAATAAACACAAATACTTTTAGATAGTGGTTTATATTCTTAAATCAATCGTTGAGCATGTATTATCAGAGAAATGCACAATTGTTTGAATTGTTTTCTCCGGAAATCAATCTATATTCTGAGAACATCAATAGATGAACTCTAAAAATCTCAGACTCAATATTCAAATTCCCTGTTACCAGGCAACAAGTCATCGTTTACTGACCACCCAAATACAATGAGGCCATGAACATAAATAATTGTAGATCGAAACGTCGTTATCCACACTGTATCATTTATATCTTATCATATTTTCTTAAGTACCTCTCCCCACAACTATAGTCTATATGGTTTTGATCAAACTGATTTATGTTTGGGTTTGGGTGTAACAATGTAATGTAATTTAACGAACTTCGAAACACGTTTCGCGACGATTTCCTGCAATATTTATATATTTCACAAATACAGACATTTGAGCAAGCACCTTTTGATAAGCAAAATGTGAAGGTTGACTATCAGCAATAGTTTGTAATTACTATATAGTGTGTGTTGCATTGATCTCAGTTATTTGCCAAATATGCCATATTTATGGTTGCTAGGTTACTGGGCGTGCGAATTGTGGATTCCGCGATGAAATGGAAAAGATGTTTGTGAGACCGTTTGCTGCTGGCATTTAAACGCTTAATATTTCCTAACTGCCCCCTTAAAATCCGTTTCGAATTCATCCTGGATACGTTCAAAACAAAATCAACTAGCGCACTGAGACATAATATACAAGTCTCGCGTTACTAGATTTCGATGAAGAAAAACCTAGTGTTAAGTTTTGAAACACCAAACGTATCGACTTCACAGGCTCAAACGTTATGCGTTATTGCATGGTTATGTTCATGGTTTATTAAACTTACTCGAACAACTTCCTGACATCTCTGAAAAGTAACCTTTTGCTACGATATAACCGCGTTTTCAAAGTTTGAAACTTTTCGTCGCTAAAATTTGACCCTTACGCTTTTATGGTAACAGCGTCCCACATTTCCTTCTAGTTTAGTTCTACGAGTAATACTAATCATATCTCTATTTATAAACAAACAACAACAACCTGGCTATATTGCGACGCAACACGTCTGTCGCAATTTTGACGCAAAATGGTGCGATTATGGTGCGTGGCCTATTCGTCTTCTTCTCATTTCACATTGCACTCTTCGATTGGTGACTCTCGCAACGTGACGCGATTGTTAGTGCATATCACTCAAAGTTAGGTCTGTCATGTAGCGCATCAGACTAATACCGGCCGGCCAAACCGTCTTTACCGCTCCTGTCGAAATGCGAACCCTCGTACAACACGCTAGTTTGCGCCCTTTTCATCAAACGAGGTCGTTATCGAGTCTTGGTCATGCGGGGTTAACGGTACAGTTGTCACAGCGCGTGTAAAATACGTTGTTTGTTTACATAAAATTCAATCACGCGCTGCGCGACGACTCTGGCGCTTTCGATAAAATTGCATACCTGAGGTGTACCTAGACAATCTAGACACCGAGAGAGAAAAAATGCATGCAAGTTGTTGCAGGGAAAATATTTTGGCACATTCGAGAAAAATGAAAATGTTCGAACAAGATACCGCGCACACTCTTCCAGACACCCCCATGACTTGAAATGTTTTATCCCTAAATTCACCACACTATTTACTGTGATAGTAGTTTATAAATAAATAAACGCTGCTCGGGCTGATAAATATGATATATAGA